CACACCAGTCCCTTTGATAACTGAGCTTGGGTTTTTTCTTTTCTTCAGTCACTTGTAGGCTGTTTGGTCTTTTCAGGAATTAAAATTGCTCCTTTGTRCATTTAAATAACAAGATAAAGGAAAAAAAACACAAATTTCTTGGCCTCAAATGGGCTTTTTCTCATTAATGCACAATTTATGGTTAGATCTGAACCTTTCACATTCACAGTCATAACAGACTGCATGTTAGATATTCACTGGTGTAGTGCATGTGGTGCTATTAACGTCCATCACATGTGATTAATGTTATTGATTCCTTCTTTCTTTTCTTTTGACAACCCCTTCGTGGCTTTCTAAACACTCACAAATGCTGCTGAACATTTTGAAAAGATGCACTGCAGTTCAAATATCAACTCCAAAGCATTGTCATATGTGTGGCMTGTTAATTTGTATCAGTATTACACAAGGACCTTTTTTGTTGGAGCAAATTGGTGCCACCCCAGCAAAAGTAGAAAAGGAATTTTGTCACGTTACAATGCAAAAAGATTATTTTTCCTGCTATCCATTTTTAATACTATGGCCACGTCTACWAGAAGATACCAAATACCTACACTGTTTTTGTCCGGACTTGAAATACAAAATGTTTCAGAAACACTGATGCAGCAGCGTATCTGTGCCCAACCATGCTAAAACAACAACATCTTACTTATTGATCTTCTCATCATCAACTGTATACTGAAATGGTTAATAGCTGAAAATAAATTGTGAATGGTATTAAAGAAAAAAAAAAGCTATGGAGAACCTTTAGCCAAGCTAACAATGCCCTTTGTCTGGTACACACTGCCTGGCCAAAAAAAAAAAAAAAAAAAAAAAAAAAAAAAAAAAAACACAAAACCACAAAACAAAGAATAAGAGCCTCCTACTGGAAAATTACTGCATGAGTGATTAAGTTTCAGCAACAGGCTATTTAACCCAAAGTGATGCAGCTTCTCGTTTGTTAAACAATCACGTTGAAAGTCTGTGGTCATGGAAAAGATGTTAATTTGTTTTAATTTGGTCACATTATTGGCATCAATCAAAGAAAATATCTAGATGCTGAAACTACTAAAATTAGGTTAAGAACTGTGCAAGGAAGAAATCCATGAGGGTCTGAAAAGTTCAGATTTATCCTGCTCCAGTGACGGAGCATCAGGGTCAGAAAAAGGTGGCCGAAGTGATGTGCCTGTCACTCCTAGTGCCTGTGGGGAGCAGGTGGTCTGATCTAGATTCAGTAACGTTATGATGTCAGCTGACTTCCTGTTGACCAGGTGATCAATGGATAGTTTTCTTTCTTTATGACACAGACATGTTCCAAGATGACAATCCCAGGATTCATCGGGCTCATATTACGAAATAGTGGCTCAGGGACGCATATATTGGTCACCACAGAGTTCAGACCTGAACTCTATTAAGAATCATTGGGATGTGCTGGAGAAGAATTGTCTCAGTGATCTAAATCTCCCATCATCACTACAAGATCTTAATGAAAACATAAAACTCTGGACAGAAAATCAATGCTRACATTGCAGAAGCTTGGGGAAATGCTGCTACAGCAAAWGTGTGCCATAATCAAAACTAAAGGCAGTCCAGTAAAGTATTAGTGAGTGACCCTTTTTATAGTTGGACGGTATTTGTCCACTGTACCACCTCTGCACATCTAAACCATCTTAGCTTTTCCTCTCTCACCTCCCCATCCAGACCTGAGCTGTGAATCTGATATACACTTTTTAAATCTTGTTCATTTTGGTCACTCCCAGTGCAAATCTTAACCTTTTTATTCTATTACCTATACTGTMTTTTTGTTAGTGCCACTGTCTCCAAACCATTACAGCAAGTCTCACTCAGTCTATCCTTCTGTCACAAATCATCCCCAACACTTGTCTCTACCTTGCCTGCCTGAGCTCTCTTTACTTTCCATGTGAACTATGGCCTGTTGCTTTGGATGGTTGAGCCCAGATGCCTAAACTCATCTTTTGTCTCTGTGCTACCCTCTCATTCACACAAATATGGTGCGATATGATGGCCAAAATTAAGRCTATTGCACACGCAGCAGTGGCTACGTGTATGTCCTTGTAGCAGGAGGTTTTATTGATTCCAAAGCCAGCTTACCACTTTATTCTCATAATTAAAAAAAAAATTTCTCTTGGTCTGATCCTAATACTTTATCGTATTTTCTTGATAAAGTTCTCTCTCTTTTTTTAAGTATTCACCTGATAAAGTTGGTGACAAATGTAGGCATGCTAGTCACTAGCATCTCCAATGCTATCACTCATTATCAGAAACAGGGTTGAGTCAAAGGTGAGCAGCAAAAGGTAAGTGTTTATTTACAGGTGTAGACAGACTGGATCCAGATCTGAAACGTTGGGAGTTAACCGATGAGCCTTGAGTATGATTCTAGTTCAGTCATATTGCTTTCTTGTTGATATTGCTTTYGGATGAACGACACAGAAGAGTGGAGCGACCCAACAGSTGAGTAAGGAGKTGAACTTCAGGCAGAGTGACCGGCAGCAGGAATCCAGGAGCATGAGAGGAGGGGACAAGACTCAAGAGACGAGCACTGGTAAGGCAGCCAGCAGTACTTTTCTTCACAGCACGAGCTCTCAGATGATTGGAACAGGTAAAGACTTTAGGAWGTGGACCTTAGACACAGGTAAGTAACTGTAGTTAGCAAAAACTCTAAAAGCAGCTGTAAAGACAAGGCGYAATGCTTCAACGAGGACCAGAACACCAATGAGCTCATCAGGAGAGTGATTGCAGCTGCAGGTAATAGAGGCTCAGACCCAACCAGGAAACAGGAAAAGCATCAACTGCAACACACATACATYATTATGCCAAAAGTATTTGCTCACCCATCCAAAYGACCRCACCAGTGCATAAAGCAAGGCCCACAAAGACATGGATGTCAGAGTCTGGTGTGGTTGAACTTGACTGGCCTGCACAGAGTCCTGACCCTCAACCCATAGAACACCTTTGGGATGAATTAGAGTGGAGTCTGAGAGCCAGGCCTTCTTGTTCAACAYCAGTATGTAGTTCTGGAAGAATGGTCAAGAATGGTCACCTTGTGGACTGCCTTCCCAGAAGAGTTGAAGCTATTCTAGCTGCTAAGGGACCAGCGTTAAATTGAACTTTATGGATTAGGAGTGGGATGTCACTTAATCTCATATGTGAGTCAATGCAGGTGAGCGAATACTTTTGGCAATGTAGTGTAAGTTGTCTCCTTCTCATTTGCCAGCACCGGCCTCTCAATTACTGGTACATGCCTATCATTAATCACATCAGTAGCTTTGGAATAGATATACGTAGCCTCCTGCTACATGGATGTATCTACAGCTGGATGTGCAACAGTTTTCATTTTGGCCCTCATACAGCGCTATACTGCTACCCTCATGTACTAGACATCTTTGCATACCTGACTTCCTCAAATAAAACCACAGTTCCTAAATAGATGTTTTTTTTTCTTTGGCTGTTTTCTTCTGCAGGGGTTGCCACAGCGAGCAAACTTGCACAAATTATTTGGCAATGATTTTACGCCAGATGCCCGTCCTGACGCAATTTGGACTTAAACTCACAGCCTCAGGATTACAAGATTGCAGTACTGACCACAAAGCTAACACAGCCCCATGTTACTAATACCCTTTCTAAGAAAAAGCAGGATTTTATCATATTGATCTGAAAATGTTGGAAATTCAACAACATCTTGACTATAATCCCGTTTTAATTATATCATMAAGCTGTTAAAAATTTAATTGATCACATTTGAACATCATTCGATCGTTATGATTTCATCTTGGTGGATGTACTGCGCAAAATTTGGAAGAAGGACCAACTCTGTGTGTTTCAAAAGTGACCGTCTGTATTTTTTCTGAAACATCTATCGAAGAGATCCTTCGAGATAAAAGGCAGAAGATGGCACTGTAGTGAATTTAGGTTGTCTTTGAAGGTGAGCAGACACTTATTATGTCTCTGTTATGTCTTGCAGGAAAAAAAGGAAAGCAGTTCTATTTATAGGGCAATTTCAAGGAGGCAATGCAGCACTTCGGAGCTGTGTGAGAGAAAAGAGGCTTCTGTTTCTGCAGGAAATTTATAGCAGCAGTGACACTTCATCATGTCCAAGTTTTGTGAGTAATTTATTTCTGTTGACAAATAAAAAAGGTGCTATCTCGTAAAATTACTCTAAAATGTTTATTGCAATCAAGATACATGGAATACATAATTTTTTGTATGTAATCAGTGTAGAAAAAACATCAAAGATAGTTTAAAATTAATGTCCCCACAGTATGAAAAACGTTCAACTTTTGTTTTCTCCAAAGTGTGACTGGTAGCTAGCCTGGTAAAAACCAGACCCTTGTCCTTCACTTTGCTTCGTACAGAGGGTCTGGACTCGCTGCTATTGAGAAGCGA